ACCATCTAGTTCTTCTGGTCTCATAGTTGTATAGGTTGCAGATCGGATGGTGTACCAGTCGCTAGGACTGATTGTTTCCATTAATTTTGGTTTTCAAAATACCTTCTTTTAAATCTGAACTTTTACTTTCCTTTCATGTATGGGGCTCAACAGTTATGTTTTGACAGAAGAGTACTACCAAATCACATCAATGAACTTTTAAAGCTAGATTTCTCCTCTTTCTGCATAAATGCTCAGATTATGGTTAAATTCCTGATAATGTCCCAAAGCCACCTCACAACCATGGCCTTTTTGTTTTCCAGTGAGACCCTGACCATGAGTTTCATCCTCCAATGGCAAATCATACAATGCTAGAAGCCAGTGCCAAGGAGTGGCTCAGGCAAAGAGAGAGCTCTATTTTCAAAAAGAGGAAGGAGGAAGGGAAGACCAAGAGAGAACACGTACACAAGCAAGCAAGGGAGAGCGGAGAAAAGACCTGAGCAGAAGGAGGACAAAAGGCAGGCCGAAACCTGAACACTACTGCTTCTCTCAGCAAGCCAGAGCATATCACCCACCTGGTGAGGGCTGTTAGGGCCCATCATCCAGAAGTGAAAAAAAAAAAAAAAGGGCCTTTCCTCATCCTTAATACTCCAGCCCATACAATTCCACCAACCCAAATTAGTAGACCAAAACAAAACAAAAAACACAGATGACTATGTTAAAAGGCACTTTATGTTCAGAGGCTGTCACCACATTCCTTTTTACCAATTAATTCTTCAACGATGCTTAATCCTATAAATAGATTAAAAGTACAGTATCTATTCATTAAAATAACAGTAGAATAAATTTTTCTTTTATAAGGGAACTATCTTAAAGAACAACTTTGTTGTTGAGAAAAGCTTCCAGAAGTATCTTTTTAAAAACCTAGCTGTGTCTGTTTAAACATTTATTTTAGAGAAACAGAAGCTCCAGCAGCTAATACAGAAACCAACCTTAGGTATGTAGGGGTCCTCTATAATCACATTTCCAATACCTATGGTTTCCAAAACATTTATACGATTTCCTCCAATCCTCATAACAATTTTGTGAAGTAAGTAGGAAAGATGTCATTATTTCATTTTCCAGATAAAGACACAAGTCCAGAGAGCTGAATAATTTCTGAATAAAGTTTTAAACTAGTGAAGGGTAGAATGAAAGTGGAATTTAGGTCTATACTTCTCACTTAATGCTATTACCAATTTTCCACCCTGAAAATTAGTACACAAGATAGTTGAAAACTAGAAATTTGTACTTATTGGCATAATACTACTGAAATATAGTTAATATCTGTAGGTGTATGTTTTATGTAAGTAGGAATCTTTCAAGGATAAATAATTTCAAGTTACCCTTAATTTGTGGCTCAAACAGAAAAGTGCTTAACTACTAACCAAAAGGTTGGCAGTTTGAATCCACATAGAGGCACCTCAGAAGAAATGCCTGGCAATTTACTTCCAAAAGGTCATAGCCACTGAAAACCCTATGTATGAAGCACAGGTCTACTTTGAAACACATGGAGTCACCATGAGTCAAACCTGACTTGATGACAACTGGTATTTTTAATTTTTTTTTTTAATATTAAAAGAAAAAGAGAGTAATGGGAAACAGTAGGGGGTGGGTTGGAAGGACTAGAAAAACTACAGCATTACTTTATTAAGAACATTCAGAAAATATTCAGAAAGATCTAGAGCTCCTGGCACAGCTGAGTTTTCGAGGTCTTTAACTCTAATTGCTAAAAGGTCTAGAACCAGAAATATTTATTTCAGGTATTCTGTGCAACATATGAAGTCCTGAAATTCTTACAAATATATTTTAGTTATCACAGAAATGCTTCAGAAAATCTGATGGCTTGTCAAATTCACTCTTCTAAATATACATTCTGAATTTCCTATTGCTTTCAAATCTCTTTAGGGAGATGTGGCATATACCCATTTAAGTTACTTTCTTTATTCAGCTGACTGTGTAAAGATTCCTTTCTCAATGAAATAAATTTTGTTTGCTGAGTTCAGCCTGACTCGAACTTTTCTCTATTGCCTATACCAGCATCTTCCAAAGTGTGTATTGCGGACTGCTAATGGCAGAGCTATTAATAAGTGCAAACAAACAAAAAGGAACAGGGTCTTGCTAAACACTGCATTATTAAATCCCTTCTTCAAAAGTCACAATGGACATTAGCATATTAAAGGCTCTAAGAAAACGTGCATAATCTGTTTAATTTTGTTTAATCCGTCCTTACCAAATTTATTTGATCTACTTTCTATTACAACAAGAAAATCTGGAATTATCAAACTGATTACAAGAGATCCTTATCAATGAAGCTCAAATCAGTATAAATAATATAACATAATCATAAAGCCCAGTATACATATTATTAATACATATATGATATCCCCTTGATCTTATCAGACAGTATTTCTTTTTTTTTCTTGGGAGGGGGGAGCATTAATGTTATTTACAGTTAGAGAGTCATTAATTAGTTTGTTCTTTGCTTTCTAGTCAATTCAACATTCCAACAAAAGAAAGTAAAGCCTAGACTGACTATAAAAGTATGAATAGTTAAATGCAGAGTTAATACCAGTTTAATACCTGTTATCTTTAAATGCTAATTCTTCCAATTGGCTCCTCCAAATTATATCATCCTCTGTTTTATTGAAGAACATCAGCTTCACTTTCCTAAAAAAAAAAAACCTATTTAAAATATGAACAAATGGAAAGTCAAAAGGTGAACTAGAGTTAATGTTTTTTCATGCCAATTTGGTAATTAAAAGTTGCAAACTGATGTAAGATTAAAAAAAAAAACCAACAAGTTAATAAAGCTGGGACTGATGACTAAGGGAATAAGAATATGTCTATTACAGTCCAATGCATATTTAATCAATTTAGAATACTGTATACTAAGCTAATAGCTTCATAAAAGATGCTAATTAAGAGATAAAATTACATACCTGAGACTGGGTATATGAGTCAATGCATAATTCAGTATTTTAACCATTGGTGTAAAACCGGTTCCAGCTGCCAATAAAAAGAGATCTTCTACTTCTTGGAGCTGGGATTTTTTAAAATTGCCCTCAGGATTGCTTACAGAAATACAGTCTCCTAAACAATGAAACAGAAACTGAATTGGGTCAGGGCAAAAAGAAAAACTTAGAAGGCTAAATTAGAGTTGATAATTTGAGGAACAATAAGATGGATGGTTAACCTGTAGACTGTATTCCAGTCTTAAGGTATGTATAGAGTTTTAGAGGTAATCGTTAGATTCCCAAGAATACCTGCATTATGTCATTTTAATCAAATTAATAATAAGGTTATATTATATTCATTATATTCCCAAACTATCTGGAGTCTCTAATTTACAAAGGACTGTGAAGTACTTATCCACAAAGTATCAATAAAAAACTGACACTAAATCAAATTATAAGCATCTCAAAAGGAGAGTCTATGTACACCTGTCTTGCACGGTACAGGTAGCAGGTATTTCCTTCACATATTGATCACAGGAGTAAGATTACCAGGAGAGAAAACTGAAATAGAAATGCATTCTAAAACCTTATGTGAGTATATGTTCTAACTTCTCCATCAATCTTTGAAGACATCTATTGATTAAAACAAGAGCTGCTCTGAATTTAATTCCTAGTGATACTGCCTCGGAAACCCAAGGAGGGGTCGCTATGAGTCAGGGCCAACTCGATGGCACATAGCAATAACAACAACATAAACAAAGCAAGATCAGAAAAGCAGCTGACTGCACTTGAAGTAAGTATTACTTCTTAATCTAGAAAGAAGAGAACTGAGCAATCAGTGCTCATCTTCAGCAATGCAGTTGATATAACCAACCACCAAGTACCACTCATATACAAGAGGTGCCTTTGGGACTAGAGTCAGAAATTTCCAGTGTAATTTAACAAATGAAAAACAAAGCTGTTCATATTTTAATAATTTCAAATACTCTGACTTATTTTAAAATGCTTGATGTGCATATTTCTTCATTTTCTAACGCAGAATAGGAAGTATCTTGGAGTAATTGATGAATTAAGTATCAGAAAGTAAGCAAAGCTCCTTGTTAGGGCTTGAAAGGGACGAGAAAATCAGGAAGTGATTAGGAAAAAGCCCACTGGTTGTTTAATAAAGAAGCTTCACAGGATGATATTAACTTGGTAACTTTTGACCAAAGACCCATCCCTCCAGTGTCATAAAACTTAGACTCAGGCAGGGTAACTGACAGCCAATCACATTCACAAAAGATTAACGTATACATGCCAGAATGTCAAGTGATTTACAACAAAGGTTTATACCTATCTTTTGATCTGAATATATTACATTCCCCATCCAGAGACCCATATCAGATCATTAAAGGCCAAATTAATCACACGAAAGTTGCTTGGTGAACATGGGACTGAAACAAAGATGTGGATAACTTTATAGGGTAGTTGATTTAGGCCATAATGAGGCTTCATGAGTCATCACTACCATACAAGTACACTACTCTCTAAGTGACACAAATATTTATGCCATCTCTATTGCAAGGAAGTCAAGCTAAAAAACACTGACTTTGTTCTTTGAGTCTTCCTTCTCCATGTTACAGGCTAACTCTTGTCTTGTTCTGCTCACAAAATCTCTATAAATAGGTTATACAGGTAGTTCAGGAATTAGATGTAATCTCATTACTTATGACTGTTTTTTTTGGTACATTTTATCATTAGTAATATATACTCCATACAATGTCGCTACATATAATTTGCTGATATCATCATTCTCAGATATTCACTTGCAGATGTTCAATTTTTTGATTTACCATTCAAAATAATGCCATATTGATTTAAGTTTTCTAAACTAAATTAGGTGCTTCAGTTGCTTTCTATCATGGACCCAAAGACTGATCACTTTGCTAAAGTCAGCATGTAGATTCAGGAAGCAGTACTACAAAATATATGAAGAAAAAAGTAAAAAGGCAAAACAGAAAACTCTAACTTTCTAACTAGAAACACCATGTCCATTCCCAGAGATAAGTCATACGATCCAGAACCTTCCACAGATGGAGATATTACAACTGACAAAACGCCAACCTCCGACTCTTCTTCGTTGAAATAAATCTTTATGATTTCTGTATTTTTACGTAGGTATATATGTATTATAGATTTGGAAACCTTATGGGGCAGTTCTCCTCTGTCCTGTAGGGTCACTGTAAGTCAGAATTCACTTGATGGCAATGGGTTTGATTTGGTTTTTGGTTATACATGTACTAAAATACATCTGTAAGCTTATATGTAAAGTTTCCAACCCTCAAAGACAAAAAAAACCCACCAGATTTACAAAGATACTGATGATAAAAGGCAGTAATAATAAAAACTTAAAAAAAAAAAAGAGGTATTCAAATTATGAAAGAACCTATGTAAGACAGAATCATTGGAATGGAACCCCATCATAAATCGGGCACTACTTGTAATTCTATTGGTTAAATTCTCACTTACTTTATTACAATCACGTGTCAAAATCTTCCCTTCACAAATTGATGGCCACTTTCACTAGGTTTGCAAGTACTCCAAAATTCTCTAGGTTCATAATTTATAAGCAATATTTTGGTTTATGTAACCAAAGATGATGAATCATATCCATTATGTAGAAATGTCTAAGTTTAACTTTCAGAAAGCAACATATTTCCAAATCTTGGTGATCTACCTCACTGATGGGAGCTCTGGTAGCATAGTGCCTAAGGCACTTGACTGCTAACCAGACAGCTGGTGGTTCAAACTCACCAGCCACTCCTCGGAAGGAAGGTTGGGCAATCTACTTTCGCAGTAATACCACCCTGGAAAACCAAGGAGGGGTTGCTATGAGTCAGGTCCGACTCAACGGCACATAACAACCACCACCACCTCACTGATACCCTGAAGTACTGCTGATACAGCCTTGAAAATGGGGATAGCACTTTTGCCACTGGGCAAAGGCAATAAAAAGTTGAAGACATGGAAAAATGAACAGAAGAAATGGGATCTCTAAATATTATAGTTCTTTTATTCATTCTTTCAAAAAACATTTATTGAGACCCTATTATGTGTCAACTGCTATGCCAGGCAATACAGATACAAATATAAGACAATCTCTGCCCTAAAATTCAAAGTCTTGCAAAGAAGGAATATATTTATTCTTAAAATAGAAGAATGAACAAACTGTTAGTTACTGGGGAGTTCATAGGAAGAAGGAGGCATCATAAAGGAAGTGATATGTTATTTGAGACCTTAAAAAAAGGCACTTGATGGCTAGAGAAAAGTGTGCTGGGCATTCTAGTTGAGGCAAGTGCATGGAGAAACTTGTAGAATGCAAGTTGCGTGCTTTTATGCAGCAAGAGATTAAGCTAGAGTCATGGTCTTTGTAGGCCATGTCAAAGCTTTCATCAGTGTAGACGGGGACCCGTGAAACGTTACAGAGCTGCAGGCAACATGATTAAATCTATTCTCAAGGAAGTTTGGAGAAGAAACTGGAAGATGAAAGCAAAGAGAAAAAAAGATCACCAGTTAGCAGCAATTGAGAGATCAGTTAGAAGCCAAGAAAGAAATGATAAAGACCTGATCTCAGAGGGTGGCAGAAGAGACAGGGAGGAAAGATTAAAAAGTCACTGACACGCAGACTCAAGATTTAGTGGCTGACTGGATTGGGGGAAGAAAGTGGTTAAAACTTAGAAATAACTCAGGCCTTCAGACTGGGTCAAGGATGAACATTGATGCTGTAAGTAACAAAGATGGGGGAAGACAGAAGGATAGGTTGGATGGGACAAACAGGATGACTTTGGTTGTAGACATGTTGACTTTAAGTTATCTGAAAGACACCTATATGGAGATAACTAGAAGGCAGTATAGCATGTGATCCAATCTAGAGTATAAAATGAGGTGAAAAAAAAAAAAGAAATTCACATAAAAATAATTACCAATCTGAAGATGATCAAGCTCTGGTGTGAAGAGTCCAGCAGGATAGATTTTGATCAAAAAGTAGATGCATTTATTGTTGCAAAGAATTGGTTCCTGGAACTCTGAGAGTAAGGAATCAGATACAGGTGTATATGGCTTCACTATTTCTGTACCTAAAAAAAAGTCACAACAAAGAAATTAAATTCTAAAACTCTAAAAAGCTCTGAATGAAGATGAAATATACAAATTTTATGATGCTATCAGTATATATTTAAAAGCATACACCTAATGTGTATATAACTCTAACTTTACATTCTATGTGCATATATCATATGTATTTATACTCCAAGGAGCCCTGGTGGCACACGGTTAAGTGCTTGACTGCTAACTGAAAGAATGGTGGTTTGAACCCACAAACTGTACCGTGGGAGAAAAGATGTAACACTCTGCTTCCATAAAGATTTACAGCCTTGGAAACCCTATGGGGCAGTATACTCTGTCTCACAGAGTCTCTATGAGTTGGAATTAACTTGATGGCAATGGGTTTATATATACTCCAAGTCCATATGTGCTGAAATAATTTTAACAAATTAATACTTAACTCATATATAAGCTGTCTAGTTTTAATAAATGGACAGGGATCTAGGTTAGACAGTTGTTCCTTCAGCACATAAACTTTGTAATGGGCTACAAAGAAATGGTACCAAAGTTTACCACAGAACTGTAAGAAAGTATATATGTAATCATTTCAATTATACACAAAACTTTTAACAATGGTCACTGATGGCCAATGGGATCATTTTGGGGGAAAAAAAATGGAAGAATTTCAGTTTTATATTTCGGATTGTTTTATTGTTTCAACATATTATACTATTATCTATCAAAACCCAGCTGGTAATAAACTAGTTACTCTAAAAACACTACTAGTGACATGTAAATGTTACCTTTATATCTCCAAAAGGTCACAAAAATGTTGTACACCATTTAGAAGGGTATTTAAAACAAGTGAGGTGATTTCAAGATGAAAATAAGGAATAAGAATTGTCACAGTCAGAAACATACTTACAGAGCTTTTTATTCTGGTGGGACATGAAAGGAAATCATTTATAATCATTTACTCACTTTATTTTTTCAACCACTCACTTCAAATTTTATAAATTCAACTTCATTAATGACACAGCCACATGTGGCTACTGAGAGATGCTATTATGTGTTTCTAGTGGCTGTCTTCAGGGAGAATGTTTTACATACTACCTCGTCTCTTTCCTTTAGGGGGCTATTATTAGTAAATTACAATGCCGGCAGAGCCACTTCTCTGACAGTAAACAACGTCTTTGTATCATATGATAACGTGGCGTGGCTATGGTTCCGACATGTAGGAACACTGCACCCACAAAGCTAGAATCTGGTCATCATTAAATCTAGCTGCCCCAAAATATTTATTGAAAACTTAAATGGTCGCTTCCTAAAGAGATTAGTACTGATTTTGAACTGCTTACAAAAGAAGGATATATTCCCTAAAGCCTCCATATTCCTTACCTGTGATAGTTAGCTTGAGGTAAATATGTTGCCCAATAGGCACCTGAAGATGAGTGCTTGGTGGCAGCATCAAGCAGAAAAGCTTCGTATTATGAGTAACATCTTCCTTGGAAATTAATTGGCACTTTCTGTAGTACAAACCTAGAAAGTGATTCATTTTCTTTTATTGATGAATAAATAAATCAAATAAAGTGTAATACTAGACCCACCAAGTGAAAGCAGAGTTTGCTCTTTAGGAGGCTTGAATTTCACTAAAAAGGCTGTATATTTTTAAAATGCATCAATATCTTGAAAATTTTATAATATAGTGTTAATTTTTTCATTTTATTTCCTGAGCTACTTTTAAAGAATCTATAAATATTTTTTTAATTTGAAAAACGAACTTTATAAAATGAATGTTATTTCACAGTATATTAAAATCATTATATTCTAAGAAATGAAAACTAATTTATTTCTTTTTAAATTTACTTTTTAATAATTCCACTTTTAATATCTTATATTAGCAGCTATATAATTAAATTACACATGTGCAAAATATTTGATAACCAATCAATTTACATTCTAAAGTCTTTT